AGAGCAACTTTCAAGCAACTCAAAGAAGTCCAGATGTTTTCTTTCCAAGCTCCATAGACTACGATGACCTGGATGACTGAGAACCTTCACGGACATACATCAATACGTGTCATTGTGTTGGGAGACACAGCAAACCTCCTGGCAGTCTTGAGAGTATGGAGGAGATTCCAGGAGACAGACAGTTAGTCTAGGAGAGCTGGACGGGGCCCTAGAAAGTCTTTAACTCATCACCCCGCTCCTCCAGCCTAAATCCAACACCTCTGGGACACCTCAGACTGTTCGGGAGGTTTAGTGATTCCCTAATCCAGATCTGGGAAGACATCCCCCGAATCATCCACATTTGTTTTCTCATTAGGAGCATTCCTCGACATTGCCGGGCATACATACAAGCATGTGGGGTCCATACAGACTCCTCAGTACCCCCCACAGGTGGAAGGAAAAAACTCCTTTTAACAGGAAGAAACCTCCAGCACAACCAGGCTCAGGTAGGGACAGCCATCTGCCATGACCAGGGGTGAGGGGAGGGAAACTGGACAGTAGTAGTAAAAAACAAAACCTAGATTGTTTAGGTATACTAAGTCTTTAAATGTCTGGGTAATTGTAATCAATAACCAAAAAGACCCAAACATGACTAAGAAAAGCATCAAAGATTCACTTTGGAGCAGCTGAAAGCAGAGTGTAGAGCTTTTTTTAAATTATTTGGTTGCCAGTACATTTTCAGGCTAATTGTTTCAAATATAGCCAGTGTTAAACAAACATGGGGAACATGCTCTTTGTTACTGGAAGCTTTACTGTCTGTAGCCTGAGTAGTTAGATCACAAACCTTCAAGGACACTTTGGTTGTATGGAGATAATCAGTCTGCGCGGACAGAGCATTGCAGATTGCATTTGCTGAAATGTGATTGCAAAGCAAGTCAAAACATAGTTTTTATGCCTCCCCCCCTCTTGTTTTCAGTAGTCATGAACAATGACTGCAGTTGCCTGTTGCCTCCAGATGCTGAAGTTGGCAGACAGCATAATACTGAAATAACTCTGAAGAGTACACAGTGTATTTAAGAGCAAGGTTAGGCGATAATAAAAATGGCAAATTCTGATGTGTTTAGAAGTCCACCAGAGACCGACGTGTGGAAAAGGAGGGAGAGGAAGCATTAGAGAATATGATTTGGTTGCAAAACCACACTCCAGCCCGTGTCCCTAAGAGGCAACCTGGGGGCGAGTTTGTCAGGCTTAGTCAAGCAGACTGTACCTTCTGCCTTTAACCAACCACCCCAGCAGAGAAGCAGTACTGCTTACTGAAGCTCGACCATGCCAGCGGGGGCAATTTAAAAAACATTATAATCACATGAGGAGAAATTTCTCTGGTTTCATAATTAGAAATGGCAAGTGGGGAATGAACTTGATGGCATTTGGTTTGGCCACAGTGCAACAGGATAACGGTGCTGCTTTATTATCTCGTTTTCAGTGTAAAGGGAATGAATGAATGAGTGCAGAGAGGGTAATGGTCTTTTCTCAGTGTGTGGATTAGCTGTGCAAAATTACACATGGCTATACCTCCAATTTTAAATAAAGCAACTCGTACCGGTGTGGTGGTACATGTCACAGTGTTGGATTAAGCAAAACGGGTAAAAACATGTTTGTTAAGGAGCTTAAAAAATGGAAATAGACAAGTTTTTGGCACAACCAAAACATGACCAGGGTGGCGCTTTAGTTTGCCCAGGAGCTTTCTGCAGATGGTGGAAATGGCACACTAAGAAAAACTGTGGAAATTCTGCCAGACAAAAGTCCCTCTGTCGAAGGAAGAGAAGAAGAAGAGGAGGGAAAGGGATAGAAATCAAAAGAACCTGAGAACAAATGGATGCAGAGCTGAATCAGTCTGCATTAATTCTACAGCGAGGAGGCAGCAGAACCTGCCTGCTTTATCCTGCTACAACCACGTGTTTTTTATAACTAAACAAATAATGGTTTGCAGTCTTTGTGACAGAGGCACATGGCAGTGAGGAAAGAAGGGGAAGCTGTCTATTGCCACTTTATTAAATAGCATTGATGGCTGATTTTTTCTTGTCTTTTCTTTGTTTACTTTGCACAGAGCCATTCTTTATCCTGTCTGCTGGATAGACATGGAAGTAATCAATGTTCTCTGTGGTTGCTTAAATAAGAGCGCTGTGTATACCAAATCAGTTTGTAACCTGGACTGAAGGACATTTGTTGTGCAGCCAGCTGCCTTGGTATGACATGTTTTTGACTGCTGCAGACATTTCTTATCTTCTTAAAATATCTTATCAGCACAGCAATGCAGCTACAACACTGCTGACACAGTCCTAAACTGCAGGCACCTCCACAATCCATCCAAACATATCTGCACATGCACCATCCGTTTTTATTTCACCACTCTTTCTCTCTGTGGCTCTCTGTACTCACCATAGTTTTTATGGCCCCAGGCCTGACAATTCATATGACAAATAGCCTCCAGGCCTTCTCCCTCCTGATACATCACCTCCTCAATTTGCACTTCCCCTTTGATGATAATTGCGCGGTATAGTGAGGAGTGACCATGCGCATCAGCCATGGGGAATCACTGTCTGGCATCAGGATCCACCAGCTGGCAGCATCAATCACCGGGTCTCTTTAAAAGCAGCTGTTGATTTGTTGCAGTGAAATCATGCCACCCTGTGGCAGGAAGAGCTTCAGAACACAGATTGATGGGCAGATCACTGGCAGTGGAAGCTTTGGCTTCATCTAAAGTGGACTCTAAGAGCATAGAATTGATTATAATGTGATGTAATGCTTTTCTGAACCCCGAAGGAGAACTGTGGAGTCATTTCTTTGAAGAGAAAAATCCTGACAGAGCCTTAAATGTGTTTAGCTGTAGTCACTCGCTGTTATTTCTATCTCCTAATATCCTCTGTACATACTGACGATGATGCGAACCAGCAGTTTCACACTTCCATCAGACCTGTTGCCACGAGCTTTCAGTCCAGTTCTTGTGTACTTTGACAAACCTCAGCCTTTGTTCTTTGTTTCTCTTCCTTAGGAATGGCTTCTTGACAACAACCCTTCCACTGAGATCATTTCTGATGAGACTTCATGAAACTCTACATGAATCAAATAAAGTTTCAGATGCATGTCTCAGGTTTGGTGTCAAGTCTTTGCTGGATTTCTTTTTCTATTTCTTAAAATTGATTCTGATTTGCTTAAGATGCTATAAGGTCATCACTGCAGTGTAGCCGGCCTGTAACTGTGTGTGTTGTCCCTTAACCTTTATGCATCATGTACTGTGTCTGGGACTGGTTCCCTTGATTTTTAGTGTTTTGTGTAATACATTGACCTGAAATCTGTGTGTACGTATGTTTCACAGACTTATGTTTTGAAGTGATATTTCGGGGAGCTGTATTCCTCTCTCTCATCTTTATTTCCTTCCCGTCCCAAATATACTTGAATATAAAAAATGACATTAAATATTCAGCCTTTCATTGATATGTGAGTCTTTTGTCTGGTGACGAGCACTTACAGACACTGCCTGTCTTGTTTCTTAGGACTGCTTCGTGATTTTCAAGTTCCCTTAATGGGACTTTATAATTGAAAAAAGAAATCCTTCAGACTTGTGTAGTTCAAGATGTGAAATGCTTATCGTTTAAAGGTTTTCATATATTATGTGTGTGTGTGTGTGTGTGTGTGTGTGTGTGTGTGTGTGTGTGTGTGTGTGATCCTTCATCTGAACTGCCAAGATCATCATCTGGCATGCTCTGCTCGCCAAACTTTTATTGTTCTTGTAATGCATATTCAGGAACTCTTTTCTTTGTTTCCACAGTTTATGTGTGCTGTTTATCTTCAGTGAAGTGATGAAGTGTCTTGAAGCATTTTGTTTTAAAAGCAGTTTCTCTGTGAGATCAGTTAATGTCACAAAGCTGGATACAAACTGATTTTCTGATGCAGCTCACAGGACAGAGATGCTACAAACATCTGCTCACATCAGGCCACCCATCTAGTGCTGTGCAATACTGCAAATTTTGGTATTGATCCGACACCAAGTAAATACAGGGCCAGTATCGCTGATACCAATATTGATACTTTTAACCTATAAAAGCAGCTTATGTGGGGGATAGCAGCGTATCATGATTTATGAGGTGAATCGTCATCACTTTGCCTAATTCTGAGCACATTTGAATGACCACTGTGATGTGACTGTGATTTTTAGTTTCCACAATAATTAACATGACATAACACACCTTTCAGTTTATCATGTATAGTGCATCTCGCTTATTTTGGAGATCTGAAATGTAAATGTGCGTCTCTCTAAAGCACCTTGGGTCAGCTTCTGTAGATTAAATGTGCTGTATATGCTATAAATAAAATAGACGAGACAGTCGTGGTTCAGACATTGGGGTGGCAGTCAGGAGGTGGAGTGGGTCACCTACTGATCAAAAGGTCGGTGGTTTGATCATGACATCCAAAATGTCCTTGGGCAAGATACTAACTCCAAGTTGCTCTCTAATGCATCCATCAGGGTATGAATGTGTGTGAATGATGGGTAGAAAGCAATGGATGATGGGGTATGTTGTATAAAGCGCTTTAAGTGCTCCAGGAGAGTAGAAAAGCACTATATAGAAGCTAAGTATCGATGCTATTGGGCTAGTATTGATTTAATTCCTATACCAGCACTGGTATAAATACTCTCAGTATTTGGATCAATCCACTTATACATATTACACTTATTCCTATGCTTAGGTGGAGCTGATGGTGGTGTCTGGTTGTCAGTAAGGTTATGCAAGCACCACTTTGGTGCAAATGTGAAGAATGGACAAGGAAGAAACTTGATCAAGGAGAAATGTCTGTATGAAGAAAATACCAAACAGTCAGGTTTGTCCAGAAAAAATCCCCCTGACATTTACTGACCATAAAAATCCATCACCTTCAGATCTCCACACACAGAAATGATGTGTGTGTGTGTGTGTGTGTGTGTGTGTGTGTGTGTGTGTGTGTGTGTGATCGGTGCTTGGGAACTCGTCAGAGATCGTGCTGTTAAACATTTGTCCCCATCTTGCCAGCTGGAGAGCTAAACTTGGTTCCTCTCTGTGTCCTTTTTTAGCCCGCACGTTTTCTCGCGAGTCCGGCTGTTGGCTGTGGTTTGAAAAGTAGTTGTTACCATAACTTTTCTAAATGAACGCAATTTTTTGAGCTAGGAGTCTGAGCTACTGCTTGCAACAACCAAGCAGGGCCCGTGTGCAGCCGCGGTGTTAACTGGACTCGTGTAACCGCCTCCTGAGGATCGTTTGTGGGAACAACACGCTGCAATGGAGCGGTGAGGCTGCAGCTGCACGGAGGGAGGACGTCCTGCGTTACTTAGTTTGAATCAGGTTTCTCTGTGATTGACCTGTCCTGTTAGATCAACTCTCTTCACACGTGATATTGTTTATATGTGACATATCATGACTTCTAGAGACACAGTTTTTGCGATTTACGCTGAATGTACAATGCACGTTAACATATTTGGATATTTATAGTTACAGTGTATGTCTAGACTAGACATAAGTCTAGTACTAGACTTATGTCAAGTAACTGTAAATTAGCCTCATAGTAACTTAGAAGAATGACTGCTTTGACACAACAGCGCATTTCTCCTATAAAGCACATTTTTAATTCAGAGCTATTATTTAAGGGTTAAATGTTATCTGTGAATATTGCTTTTTAAAAAGTAAACGTAAATTACTGTGCAATTACTGTTCTTTATATTTTGCTAGAAAAATGGGAGATTTGTTGAAAAAAATGTGTAAACTTCAATAGAGTGCAGTGTATAAGACAAAAACAGAGTTGGTACAATTCCAACCATGTTGTAAGTCAATATTTGCTATGACCAAATTTATACTTCAACACAGCCTGAACTCTCTTAGGCACACCTTTAGGGGGCTTCTTAAAGGACATTTGAAGTTCTGTTTTGTTTTTTCATGTTAGCTGCCTTTTGTTTTTGTTCTCTGTCAAGATAATCCCTCTAAAGTAATGTTGAGATCCAGCTGCTGGGGAGGCCAATCTATGACTGAGCTAAATCAAGACTTTAGCTCATTGACTTCTCCAATGAGTTTTCTTTATTTAACGTAAAGTTAAAAGCACTATGAGCTGATCGGGTTGTCCGTCTGTGGCCTTTAGTGCAGCGGTCCCCAACCTTTATGCCCGACAATATTTTCATGGACCGGCCTTTTATTCATAACACACGTGAAAAGACCCAGGAAAACCGAGTAAACGATAACAAAATAACGCTGAAAACCGATAAAAACCCTGAAAACTATACATTTCACACCTGAGCCTCAACTCTCGCGGCCCGGTACCAAACGACTCACGGACTGGTACCGGTCCGAGGCCCGGGGGTTGGGGACCGCTGCTTTAGTGCATTTTAGGTGGTCTTTGCAAAGTTCAGCAGGCTAACTGTGATCTTTTCAGCCCCAGCAGGTCTGCTACGCTTGAGCTCTACAAGGCAGCCATGTTGCTGAGTGGAGTTGGTGATGCCTTGGGCTACAGGAACCAGCTGTGGGAGTACAATGAATCAGGACCAGCTATTCACCAGGTCAGTACTGGACCAGCAAAGCATTTCCATCCAGGGTTCCTATTTTTTCTTATGCATAAAGATGAAGGTATCATCTAATTTATGAGTTACATGTAGTTTTTATTGATGATGACTTAGAAGGGAGTTATTAAGAAAGGAGTGTTCATCATCATCCTCTCTGTCCATGCAGGAGCTTCAGGAACTTGGTGGCCTAAAGAACATCAAGGCTGAGCTCCCTGACTGGCCTGTGAGTGACGACACAGTTCTGCATCTGGCTACAGCTGAAGGACTAGCAACAGGCGAGTCCAAAGCCACATTAAAACATTTTGTTCTACTTGGTTTTTCCTCTGTTGCACATCTTGCTGGAATCGAGGAGCTGATTGGATTGACCTTACAGCCGCTGTTCACGCCTCTTCAAGAGCTCCACAAAAAAAGGTCAAATCTAATTTCCAGCCTTGCCTTGATTTAGCGCTCTATTAGGTGCTACCCAAGTGGGGGAAAAAGAGGCAGAAATTCAACTTGACCTTTAGTGGGATACGGCAAACCAGGCAGTCCTGTTAACAGATCAGTTACCTCTTTAAAGTCTGCAGTTTGAACAATGTGTGTCATCCTAACAGGAAAGACTGGGGAGGAGCTCATGCATGAGGTGGCTGCTCGTTATGTGGAAGCCATGAAGGACATGGAGGGCAGGAAACCAGGGCCTTCGAGCATTCTGGGTAAAACATCATTTTGAAGTCATTTAACCCTCCTGCCATCCTTTAAAAAACTCACACCCATCACCCTAGGGACCATTCTCAGCCACGCCATAAAAAGACCATATATCCATATTTTATTCCACTTTAAATTAGCCAACCTTGTAAAACTACTTCTCCCTGAAATATTCATGTAAAGTTTTAATTATATTTTCGTTGTTTTAACCCTTCAAATCCCAGTGTTATTACATGAGCGCCCTGTGTTATAAGCCCCAAAACCCAAAAAACGAAACTAAATATTTCCACAAAAAACCAGTTGAAGTAATATGTGATTGTCATTATAAGTAGGCCTTTAGATGGACCAAAGATTGGCACCTGCCATTATTTTTTTTGCATTTTTTTTGCAATTTAAAAATTAAAACTTCAAGGCCCTGAGTCTTCATTGACATCCAAGAAAAGAAGAAAAAATAAAATCATATTGTGGTGGGGCGTGGTTTGCGGTGCCGTGCGGACGCACCTGCACGGCATCCGCAATCACGCCCGCCGTGTTAAAACACGGGGACTCAGGGGTTGGTGTGTGTGTGGTGTGACGTGAATTAAATAAAGTTGGCTCTGAACGTTGCTCCGTGGTCCCGCCGTGTCTTATTCACGCCACATTGGTGCCGAAACCCAGGAGGCGGCACGGCGGGTCCGTATCGGAGCCAGGGAATGGAGGAGCTGGCCCGGAGGGTGGCCAAAATGGCGGCCGCCCAGCGGGAGCAGGCGGCGGAGGTGCGTCGCCAGCAGGAAGAGCTACAGGACCGGTCCGAGCGCCACCTGGAAAGGATTGGGGAGCTGGTGGCGCTGCTCTGGGCCTGGGCGCCACCCCTACAAGTGTGTCCCGAGGACAGTGAAGCGGTGGAGGAGCCGTGTGGGGCACCTCGGCAGCCGGAGGTGGTGGACGAGTCACGCGGGGGTCCGAGCCTGCCGGAGGAGGAGGAGCAGCCGGGTGAAGGGCTGCTCCTGCCGGGAGCGGTGGAGGAGCCGCTCCAATCGGAGGCGGAGGACGAGGCGGGCAAGGGTCTACACCTGCCGGAGGAAGAGGAGTCGCTCCACCCAGAGGTGGACGAGGGGCTGTGCCTGCTGGAGGCGGAGGCGCAGTGCGGGGAGCCGCTCCAAACGGGAGTGGCGGAGGCGGTGGCGGAGCAGCTGTGCGAGGAGACGGAGGTCCCTGCTCCAGGGCAGCCTGCGCAGCCGGAGTTGGAGGCAGAGGAGCGGGACAGCCCCGCTAAGCCGGGGGTCGGCGGGCTGGCTAGTCCAGCCTCGCTGCCACCAGTCGATTCTGCGCGCCTGACGTCTGCCCAGCCGCCTGGGTACAGGAGCTCACGGCCATGCCTGTGGGGCCGTGTCCGCTTGCTACGCGGCCGACCTCCGGACCAACTTCGCCGTTGCCGCTGGATGCGCGGGCGGCCACCAGAATGGACGCTTCCCCGTCGCTTGGGCTGGGGCGCCGATGTTTTGGGCCGAGTCTCGCCCCAGTTCGCGGGGGGGGTGGGGGAGTAGGTTCAGCCAGATTGCTCCCCGGCCTCAATCGGGCGATGGGGGTATGTGGTGGGGCGTGGTTTGCGGTGCCGTGCGGACGCACCTGCACGGCATCCGCAATCACGCCCGCCGTGTTAAAACACGGGGACTCAGGGGTTGGTGTGTGTGTGGTGTGACGTGAATTAAATAAAGTTGGCTCTGAACGTTGCTCCGTGGTCCCGCCGTGTCTTATTCACGCCACACATATGATGATAATTTGGGGTTGAAAAATAGCGTTTATAATGGAAGTCAATGGGCAGAAAATGGTCCCCAGGGTGATGGGTGTGGGGATTTCTGCTGCTCAGCCATTTTAGGCTGCTTTAAGGAATTCACACTGGAATATTAACATTGACAGGTAAAAACTATCCTGTGGCAAGTTTGGTTATATTCCACTGAACACAGTGGAAATGGCAGCCATTTAACACATAGCAGTGGCACAAAAAGGTCCCAAGAAGGCAGGAAGGTTAACATCTGTTTATGGAGGCGATATAGAGCTAAAGCTTTGTTCTTTTAGGGGTTTCCCAGCTAAAGCCTGGGGAGGAAGGGGGATACAGAGTGGCATATAACCCTGACGGGACAGGCTGTGGAGCAGCCATGAGGTCCATGTGCATTGGCCTGAGGTAAAAAGCTCTTACTTTTCAATCTTCATGTTGTTTGTTCTTTCCCTGAGTCCGCAGTGGGTTTGGTTATTACTTTTTAATTGGCAATAATTCTGAAATATGGCTGTCTTGAGCAGATGCAGCACATCTTAATCATGAACTGAGTCTGAGTCGTGCTTTTTCTGAGAGAGTGTTTTGCTGTGTTCTCAGAGCAGTTTTTTAATAAAAAAGTAAGTGAAAGGCGTTCCAAATTATTATTATTTTTAATTAAAATTTTTAATTACATTAGGTTAATTAGGTAGTCCTATTTAGAACTCTTATTCGAGTGAGAGTTGTGTACAAAACCCACATATAAAAAATGCACAGAAACATGCATGCTAGTTGAACATAAGACAAGGATACATTGTGCATGCTCATAAATGAAGAAAAGCTCATGCAGTGTAGTTGGAGATCATTTATAAAACCATTAAAATATTCCAATCAAAGCAGAAATTGTATTTTTTTTCTTTTTTTTTTAAACTTGTTCTATTTATCAACAGCAACATATTTCAATCCGTGCCACTTTTTTCATAAAAGACACAATTTTGACTAAGAAAAGAATGACCCATGATAACATATATGAGTGTATATATTAACAATATCACCACAATATCACCATAATTGTGTATAATTAATACGTAATTGTATAAGTGCAGATAAAATAGTTAAGAAACAAGATTTGTTTCTCTATAAAAAGCTCATCTTTGTCTTTAATTTTCTTTTTTTTTTTTTTTTTTTTTTTTTTTTTTTTTTTTTTTTTTTTTTTTTACTTTTTTTCTTTTTTTTTCTGGAAGTCTTTAATTTTCTTAACAGGTGTTCCACATGGGTCTTAAAAGCGAGTCTAGCATCCAACCAGGGTCCTAAGTATGCAAAGTAATTAACAGTTTAAAGACTAAGAAGAGTTTGAATATGGACTGTACCATCCCATACTCTTGTCTTTATCTAATTCTAAAACAAGCTTATGTTTAATAAGAGAATTTTGAAATGTATCAATAGCGAACTGTAGATTTTTAATGCAAAGGAAGAGACTGTGGTATATATAGTGGTGTCATCTGCATAAAAATTGACATTACAGTTTTGGGTGGCAGAGAGTATTATTTGTGTAAAGGGCAAATAAAAGAGCTCCAAGAATAGATCCTTGTGGAACACCTGTACAAATGGCAAATGGACTTGACCTGAAGTCTTTTGGAGACTATTTTAATTCTGTTAGAAAGATAATCAGCAAACTAACCAACATCTAAACTGAGAACCATCTTTGTGCTAAATGCAATACAGATGAGGACAGAATTATTTCTGTGTTTCTAGTTTTATTTTTGATCCTAAATTATTTTACCGAGCACAAAAGTCTAGTATTATAATGTAAAAGGTAAATCCATTTTTATTTGTGTATCACATTATACAAGAAATAAGTTTAATATCCTCAACGTTACAACCACCCAAAGACAATAATGATCCCAGATCCAGGTCCAAGTCATCAGTTATAATAGTCCACATTGGCTGAGAGTAATATTTTTCTCTTGGACTCTGTTTATCTGTTTTTGAGGTGCAAAGTGTTGCCCTTCTTATGCAACTCACATGACTTTCAAAGGTGAAGGTTTCCTGTGGAGTTTTTGACTTCTTTGTGGGGTTTTTGTCTCCTGCATAGAAGAGGAGGTCACACAGGTGATCTCACGTTATTCTGCTCATCTACATGTAGCAGAAACAAGGAGCAATATTTAATATATGTATACTTTACTTATTTTAAGTTTAAGATCTCTCTTTCAGGATACCCCCGGGGGCAAGAAACAAAAATCAGTCATGACAGTTAATGCAGTTGAGACAAAACTACTAAAATAAAACTGTTATTTAATATTAGGAAGGTGATCTGCAGTTCACTCCATTGAAATAGTTCTTAGTGTCTAGAATGAGTGATTCAAGTTCATCTGTTAACGTAGACTGCATTAAAAAAAAAAACGAGCTTATGACTATAATGCTGATTTTGACTCTTTGACAGTGCCAGATATGCTGAGTTTTTATTTTTATTTTATATAAAAACACAGAAAAAGTGAAAAATATCTACTATTAGCATTTTAACAACAAATAATTTACTAGTTTTTTTTTTAGCTCTCAACAAATACTGATAATTCAATTATTGGAAGAATAACAGCTTCTTTATGGAAAAAACATGTTTTTCCAGACGTATTTATCTGCACCATACTAACTCAGAATGATGATGCTCAGAAGTTCTGTGCATGTCAATGAGAAAACCTGAATATTTCAGGTGATAGATATTATCTTCCTTAATAAATACTGATAAGGTCTTTAATATTTCATCCCCATCAGGTATCCAAAGCCCGACCAGCTGTTGTCATTGGTGGCGGTTGCTGTTGAGACAGGCAGAATGACCCATCCTCACCCCACGGGCTTCCTGGGAGCCGTCGCGTCAGCCCTTTTCACTTCATACGCCATCCAGCGCAGGCCAATCACAACTTGGGGTCTGGGCCTGATAAACGAGGCCTGCCCAATAGCAAAGAACTTCGTTGAAGGTCGAGGCTATGCCGTGGAGGAGACCGAGAGAGACTGGGGCTACTTCTGTGACAAGTGGCAATGGTATGGGCTGCTGAAATTGAGCCTTGTTAGGCTGTCATGTTGAATTCAGATTAAAGTTTCCAGCATCAGCAAGTTCTATTAACCTATTTCAGCGTCAAGGTTAACAGACGGTGACATGAAATTGTACTAAAATGTCACCGGTCAGGTTTACTTAAGCAGAACAAATGTCATTTTTATCCTGCAGTACTACATCCTCTGACAAAGATCAATGTAAGTGCAAAACACTATATTCAGGTAAATGTGCGAAATGTGCCTTTTATATTTCTGGTAACTTGATGTAATATATGCTTGAATGAGATCATGTGATATAAAGGAAGAGTTTGTTATTTTGGGAAATAAACTTACGGACTTGGTTGGCTATATAGTGATTACACTGGAGGTACAGCCATCCTGTAAAGTCCAGTATTTGAGCTTACACTAATAAATCACATTGCAAAAGAAAACTGATGACAAATGCAAATTAAAACATGCAGAATACTTTTTAACATGAAATTCTTAATCACAAAAAGTAAGAAAACTCAATTTTCCTTCAACTTTCATACCGAACAGAAAAACTGATAAGTTGTACAACAAAAGCAAAATGTTTCCAGATGGTCTAATTATAACTGAGAAACCCCAGAGTGAATCCTGCAATTATTGCAATATATATGAAAATGCTACACTGATGTTCAGAGTACCATCTGGAAACGCCACAATATTTGGATTAGCTGTCTAAAAATCATTTTTTAATGACTAACACATTTTGTGACAAACATTTTCATATTAAAGTATTCTTTAATATATATATTTATATATTAAGAAATTATCGCTAGTTGAATTTTGCAATGTTATTTTAAAAGTGTGCTCAAATATGGGACTTTAGAGGACGGCGTTATTTTTTGAATATTCGAACTAGCCAATTATCAGACATGTTTTGATATTTTATTTTTATATTACATATATGAAGCTAAAGAAATTCACTGCGATTATTATTATGTATGTTCACATTCTAATCTGGCAAATCAAAAATGATTGAGTCATTTTGGTGATTTGAGATGGAATGACCCTAAAAGTAAGCGAGTGATTAAATGGTAGGAGTAGCTACTGGACACAGAAATATATTTTGATTTTGTCCAAAGGTAATAAAAAACAGACCTTTTTGTAGAAACAGTCATGACATGACTGCATTGTTTTATTTTTTTCATTTTAACAGAGAGAGAATGACACAGGTAGACCGTGTAGATGCTGTGAACCCCCCTTTCCTGTCTGCAGGTACTTGGATCTGAGGGGCCTCGCTCACGGTGTGGGCCCTGCGATTTGGCCTGCCTCTTACGGCCCTGCTGAAAGAGACGAAGCCTATAAGAGCTTCAGCTTGTCAGGTTGGGCCGGACGCAGTGGCCATGATGCTCCAATGATAGCGCTGGACGCCTTGCTAGGCGCAGGTTCAGACTGGGAAGAGCTGATGAGCAGGGCCGCCTTCCATGGAGGTCAGAGGTCTCACTGGTGTAATGTATTATAAGCTGTGAGTGAAGTCTTGCACTAAATGTAAAACCTTTACCTAAAATATGTGTTTAATTATATTAACACAAACTCAGCTTTAGTTTGAAGTCTGCTTTTTCTTTTTGACAATCTTTGGTTTAGTTTGATAGTGACTCCGGTAACCATCATGTTACCGGAGTCAGCATTCCTCTCGTTTCAAACATTTACACACAGTCACTCAGAAAAAGGTGTTGTTGTTTTCAAGCAATGGATTATTAAATCCCTGTACAAAGTAAGTTATTAAACTAACAGCACCACTTGAGATGCACTTTCACCTAATTGCTAAATAATGTAACTACAGGGAACTATGAAGAAGGTATTTGGTGTATCCACTGACAGAGGAAGAAGACGAGGAGACATGATGGAGACAAATTGAGGGAATTGTGGCTGAGATGACAGAAAGTGGATAAAAGATGTTGTATTTGTAGCTGCCAGGCAGAGGAAAGGAGGCAGACCTCAGGGTTCATGGAAGTAGTGGAGGAGGGCCTGCAGAGGGTTGGTGTAACAGAAGGGTGCTGATCCCTAAAGAGAGCAGCTGAAGGAACAATGTAACCTTTCGTACAACTTCAAAGAAATCTTGTAAATTCCCTGGAAATTTCTCTCCCATGTAAACTGAGTTCGGCTGGTTGTTGCTTAAGCAGTTTGTGTCTCAAAGTGCAGATAATTAGAAACTAATGTGATTTCTGAACTCAGGAATGCAAATGTGTTGCAAATGCAAATTGTACTGCAATTGTACCCAATACTGGTCCGTTTTAAGGAAAGTAGGAACTTTGTGAACATGGAACAAGACTTAAGAAGTAAATCAGACATTAAACGGACAGCTTGATGTCAGCTGATAAAGTAAGGCATGAAGATTAAGCTGCCAGTTGTTTGACTTCTCAATAATTATGCAACAAGGTGTGAGACAAACTGTGTGAATGAAAAAAAATCTGGTGTCTTTGTTTAGTAAGAGAAAAAACAAACCAGAAGTACACCCTGGACAGGATCACCAGTTAACCCAACCTCACTCTGTTTTCTTTGGATTGTGGGAGAGAACCTGTGAACCCCACACAGAAAGGCCTCGGCCAAATGGTGGGTTTGAACATGGGACCTTCTGTCTCTGAGGCAACAATATTAATCCCCACCAAAGAAGCCAGTCTAGTGATAGATGGATGGTTATTATTTCTAATAATAATATTAAAAAAAAAAATCATTAGTCACTTTTAAGATGGCCACAAAGATAAATGATAAATATCAGTGATGCATTATCACGCACACTAACTGCTCACTCTGCTCTCATCTCTCTTGTCCAGGTGACAGCGACAGCACCGCAGTGATTGCGTGCTGCTGTTGGGGTCTCCTCTACGGATTGCAGGGGGTCCCCGAAGGCAACTACGCCAACCTGGAGTACCGGGAGCGACTGGAGCGCAGTGCCGAGCAGCTCTACGCGCTGTCACACTGAGGAAGGTCGCTGCAACCCCGCCGTGCTGACAGAGCGTGTCCCGGCCCGCTGCGGCAAGGGGGAAACTGGGCCACGCACACTGACACACTGAAGTAGAGCTAGCTGGTGTGCTCAGTAGTACATTGATTTAGAGAGCTGTCACTGAGCCACAGTATGTTGTCATAGTCGCCTAAAGGGGAAGCAGAAGCAGTGTCCTACTAACCTAAAGAGTCCTCTCTGCCAGAACAAGGACAGAGTGCCTCGTGATGTTGGCACGGAGGCTAGCGTATAAGCAGGGGTCCCCCTAGTGACCGTTTTAAATCAACATATTTGCTCCTGTGAGCAGAACGAATCCAAGCTAATGAGAATATGAAATGAATGAGCAGCATCCTCTGGGAGGTAATTTGCTTTGTTTTGTTCAACCTGACATAATGACAAACGCTCCAGCCTCAAATTAAATGTGCTTTTGCTAAAGGATAATGAAAAATAAATTGGTGTGCCTCATGGTCGTTAACTCCTGAAGTGAGAAGGCAAACTAATGCTCCAGACAAAAACATAATTAACAATACAATAAATTAAACGCTTTGTAGTTGAGTTGAAAACTTTATTTTTTGGTCATTGTTTATTTTTAAATTTTTTTTGTCTTGTCCATTTTTTTGTTTTTTAATTAGATTTTCCTACAAGGGAAAAGAAGGGGAAAGGGGATGTTTGTAACTACTGGATAGAGTTTTAAAAAAATTTGCTAAAAGTCCTCATCACGTCTTCAAATCCCTCCTTTCCTGTATTCATGAGAAACAGTCCGTTTCTCATTTGTGTCGTAGTACAAGGCTAAAAAACAATTCTGGAAGATAAAGAGTCTGCTGCTGTTTTCCCTCCGCGCCTGGTCCTCCCAGTAAGGTGCCTCGTGTCTCTGAATAGGGTAAATAAAAAGTCGGGGAGAAGAGCGGGACAGCACCAGGGGTCAGGCGCTGCTGCCGTCCGGTCACCTTCATCGTTAGCATTAAAAAGCTCCTCCTAGTGCCGCACGGACACCGAGGTTTGTACTGAAGAAGCGTAAGGTGCTGCGAGGTTTCTGATTTCTTCTCTGCTCCGTGTGATCCTGTCAGTTTCTTTGTTTTAAATGAGTCGCGTTCACTCTGGGCCTCTCATCCAGCAGACGGGGATTGGGAGAGGGGGAGAACAATCTGGGAGGTTGCAGAGAGGCTTTAGTTTCCAGGCGGATGGAAGGAAGCGGGGTGTGGCTGGACCTGCATCGCTGTGGGAGGTAAACAAAAATAAAACAGAGCCTGTAAAGCCCGCGCTTCAAACGACCCCATAAAAGGGAAATCTGAGGGAGGGGTTGTGTGATACCTTGCTGGATGTAGAAGTGTTGGTGTGCTCCTTGCTGAGGTCCGTGTTGGGGGTGCTGGGGCACTGCACCAGGGCCCTGCTGAGGCTGCAACATTACTATTTGGGGCTGACCATGGCTCCCCGAATGGTGGGGACCCGAAATGGCTCCTTGAACATGAGCCTGGGGGACAACAAGATCAGTTGACATGGTTTAGATCAGAAGTTAAAACACCACCTGCTGAGAAAAGGGGGAAAACAGGAAAATGGAGCACATACCTGTGCTATCTGTCCAAGGGGGTAGGTGGGTGGGATGCCCTGGTGACCATGGATGCTGTACCCCGGAATGGAGTAAGAACCCTGTGGAGACGTGTGGCCAGGCGGCATGTTGGGTGGGGTGGGTGCTGACAAGGGGCCTGAGTGGTACAAGGACTGGGGCTGTGGGCCCGACTGGGCGTTCTGAAAAGCACATCAAGGTGTGAAAATTCATCAAGGGCCATAAAAATAAAGCTGTAGAGAAGGAAAAGGTGCACATGTGCCTTTTCCAAAAGTGAGATTAGAACAAGTGCTATGCTTTTCAGCTTATTATCATTATTATTAAGTCAACATATCTAAATAGATCACCAAAAATCAACCTGATAGTGCAAGCTGCTTAATTTCAGAATTCATAGTCTAAGGAGCTTAAAAAGAAAAAGCATCTGGACTTCTTTAAGTTGCTTGAAGACGTTTACCTCTCATCTGAGAAGCTTCTGCAGTTTTAGGGTCAAATGATGGAGAGTCCCAGATTTAACCCCTGTGGGAGTGTCCCCCCAAGAGGGACAATGGATCCCCTATTGATCCTCTAACTAATCACACGAGCCAAGGTGTGAAAAACGGTGTAGGTCACAATCAGCCAAGGTTTTGGATGAGCTCACTGTGAAACCTAGCCCCACCCTATCATGTGATCAAATGGCCCAGGATGTGAGCAGGCGCTAAGGTGTCTGCCATCTATTATCCAAAACTGGATTATAGATGGCAGACTCTGTTCAAAGATGGTTGTTCACAGCAACTTAAAGAAGTCCAGACGCTTTTCTTCCCAAGCGCCTTAGACAACGATGACCTGGATGATTGAGAACCTTCACAGATATAATTGGAATGAATTCTGAACATATTTCACACAATCCAGTCTGAAAATGTAAGGTGTGTCGAAGCTGTTGACATAAAGCAGCAATGAGCAGCCCACACTGCACAGACCAGGTGGACGGTCCCTTCTCCTTTTCGGGGGCGTCCTACCTGTCCAGGGCTAGGTGCAGTGTGCTGGGGTGGGGGCTGATTGCCTGTTGGTGTACTGGAGGGCTGAGGCTGATGAACTGCGCCTGTGTGATGGGAGAATGACTGTGGAGCTACAGAGGAAGAGAATTCACGTCAGGGTCGACTCTGTATCTACAAATCAATCGATTCGGGTCACGTGGATATTTTGTCGTTCACATCCATCTCCACTCACCGTAGATGCCCTGCTGTGGGCCTTGAGGTCCATCTCCCTGTGCAGAGAACTGGGGCCCTCCTGGTGGACCGAGGGCTTGTGGGTGGGGACCCCCACCTTGACCTATCATCCTGGCTCCACCTTGCAGCATTGAGTACATGGGCTTTTGAGGATGGAGAAAAGAAAGGAAAAAGGTGTTATTCTGCTGAATGAGAAATAATGTAAAACCCCGACTACAGAATGTGTTTGGAGGGCAGACGTGCTACCTGTCCAGGGTAGGGTGTCATGGCCTGGATGACCTGCTGCTGGCCATACTGCTGAGGGTTGTACTGAAGGTAGGACTGGGGGTAAGGGGACGCTACCAGCGGGGCCCCAGCAGCTGATGCAGCTTGCAGCATGGGGGGTGCTGAAGAACCATGGTCAGAGCGCTGAGCCACAACCGAGCCTAATGAGAGGAGCCAATCATCAAGAGAACAGAAACATGGAGGACAAAAACACCATCTTTCCCGTTCCTCACTGCAGATTCCAGAGTTCAGTCGTCTCTAATTTAAGTGTTTAAGCGTTTCTGCAAGTTTAAAGCATGACGGCTCTGTGTTTCACAGCAGATCACAACTCAAGGTTAACATTGAGGTAACAGTCAGCACTTTCTCTGGAGCCGAAAGTCAAGCCTCTGACAAGAGCTGACAGGAAATTCATTTTAAATATGTGGGAAACAATATAAAAAGCACACGCTGCAGTTACCTTTTGCTCTGGGGTATTTTCCCTGGCCCACTGTAGACATGGTGTACTGATACATTTGTGGGGGCTGAAAGACAAAAAGATGAACAGCTGAGCACAAGAACTGTGGCTTTAATGTGAAAAGAAAAACTGCAAACAGTATCCGATTGCAGTTCCACGTGAATATTTGGCTTTTTATTGGCATGTTTCAAATGCCAGCAAGATATTTGTAGAAGGTGTTAAGCACGACATTTAGAGAAAGACGCCTTAAGTGACCATGTTTATTTATTTTTGGCTTGCGTACCGGCACAGAGTGGATCTGTGAGATGTAGGAGGAGAGGTAGGGTTGGGGGTTGTAGAGCGGCCCCTGTCCTCCTGGATGCTGCAGCACCACGGGGCTCTGAGGAGTTGGCCGAGGTGGGGTGGGCGCAGTGTTGGGCTTCGTCTGTCAGAAACACATCACGGGTAAATAAATATAGATTCAATATATGAAATAATATCTTAATTTCTGTGTGTGTTTTTTAAGTTTTAATGACTTAACAGATTCAAGTGTCTTACCATAGGCATCTGAGGTTTGATAGGATTGAACTCTTTAGCATTTGGGTTTAAGGTTGATTTCTTTACTTGGCTGCAAAAGAGAAAATAGTTGTTATAAATTATGATGAGTGCAATAAACTGAGTTAAAAAAAATAAATCACACAGTTCACAGTCAGAAATCTTTAGTCCTTTTATTTAAACTCACTCTGCTACGCCTTCTGTCCTCTCCGCTGCCTCGGACCTGACCTCCTCACTTCCTGGGGTCCTGGCAGGCTGAGGGGTGGCTGGGGACTGCCTGTCTGAGAGGGGTGCCGTGGCGGCAGCTGTTGTGGTGCCCAGTGTAGCTGCAGTGTCCTTGGAGGGGTCCTCGGAGACGGCTGGCAAAGGCTGGGTCTGGGAAGGACTGGGAGCTGCAGGCTGAGGTTTAGACTCTGATGGAGGATGAGCGTCTGATGGCGCGGGGTTGGCTGCGCTGGGCTGGCTGACCTCGCTTACAGCAGGAGGGGTCGTCCCTGCTGCAGGAGAACTGGGAGAGCTGGAGTTAGCTCCGCTGGGTGGGAGCTGGAAGATAAAAAGGAGTCGAGGGATAAGCAGTTGGTCTGTAAAAGCAAAATTGTTTGTTTCATCCAACAAATCAAATAATTAATTTACTATCAGACATGACAGCAAAGCCTCACAACTGAGGAGCCTGTTATAACTACTGAGGTTTAATTTAAGTTCACAAGAATATAAAACATGTTGATTAGCAATCCCGCTATAATAGGTCATAATAGTATCCAAATGAGGAGTACTGTTTCTAAGAAAAGGTGGAAAAGGAGACTGTGAAACACAAGAATCTTGAGTCCAATCCAACAATGTGCACAGAAACAGAGTCATAACAGATTAATCTGAGGCTTTGCAGCAGCCTGATGTCATAATCAACTTTCAGCTCAGTCACATTTAATAACAATCGAGTATTGTAATCTTATGTGCCTTTTATTTTAGACATGTACTGCCTGTGAATTGCTGGGCTGACACCAATGTTGTAAAATAATTTAATACTGATCATTGTTTCCTTTTTACTTTGTTACTGTGGCAGTTCAATTGAATAAAAGCTGTTACTGGTCAGTGACACTGTAAAGACCGAGATGGATGACTAGCATTGAGCGTCATCTGCTAAAGTTGATCATCACAACATGATTAAGATGGGAGCGATGTTGGAGGGAGGTCTGACATCACTGATGTCAGCACGCAGCCTTGTGATTGGTGACTGATTTTCTCATTTCACACGTCGCTGAAACACTCTTACCCTGAACTCTTTGCCAAATTTTCGCAGCTCCTCAATGTGGGACCTCTGCTGAACCGACGGCGCTGGTGGAAGAGAAAAGAGTTTTGAGAACTTCAAACAACAACACAAAGGGTGCGTAACTAGGCAAAAAGCTCACTTCCAGCGTTTAGCCAGCACCAAACTTAAATACCTTTACTCGTCTTGCTTTCCTCTGTTGTGCTCGGGCTCTCGCCGGAGCGTTCCTTTGCAGCTGCACCGAGGATCTCATTCACTGTGAAAACGGCACAATAATCCAGTT